CTGTACTGTGGATATTATACCAGAAGCTACTGTACTGTGGATATTATACCAGAAGCTACTGTACTGTGGATATTATACCAGAAGTTTCTGTACTGTGGATATTATACCAGGACCTATTGTACTGTGGATATTATACCAGGACCTATTGTACTGTGGATATTGTACCAGGAGTTACTGTACTGTGGATATTGTACCAGGAGTTACTGTACTGTGGATATTATACAAAGAGTTACTGTACCGTGGATATTATACCAGGTGCTACTGTACTGTGGATATTATACCAGGAGTTACTGTACTGTGGATATTATACCAGGAGTTACTGTACCGTGGATATTATACCAGGAGTTACTGTACCGTGGATATTATACAAGGTGCTACTGTACTGTTGATATTGTACCAAGAGTTACTGTACTGTGGATATTGTACCAGGAGCTACTGTACTGTGGATATTGTACCAGGAGCTACTGTACTGTGGATATTGTACCAGGTGCTACTGTAATGTGGATATTGTACCAGGTGCTACTGTACTGTGGATATTGTACCAGGTGCTACTGTACTGTGGATATTGTACCAGGTGCTACTGTACTGTGGATATTGTACCAGGTGCTACTGAACTGTTGATATTGTACCAGGTGCTACTGTACTGTGGATATTATACCAGGTGCTACTGTACTGTGGATATTATACCAGGTGCTACTGTACTGTGGATATTATACCAGGTGCTACTGTACTGTGGATATTATACCAGGTGCTACTGTACTGTTGATATTATACCATGTGCTACTGTACTGTGGATATTATACCAGGTGCTACTGTACTGTGGATATTATACCAAGTGCTACTGTACTGTGGATATTATACCAAGTGCTACTGTACTTTGGATATTATACCAGGTGCTACTGTACCGTGGATATTATACCAGGTGCTACTGTACTGTGGATATTATACCAGGAGTTACTGTACCGTGGATATTATACCAGGAGTTACTGTACCGTGGATATTATACCAGGTGCTACTGTACTGTTGATATTATACCAAGAGTTACTGTACTGTGGATATTGTACCAGGTGCTACTGTACTGTGGCTATTATACCAGGTGCTACTGTACTGTGGATATTATACCAGGTGTTACTGTACTGTGGATATTATACCAGGAGCTACTGTACTGTGGATATTATACCAGGAGCTACTGTACTGTGGCTATTATACCAGGTGGTACTGTACTGTGGCTATTATACCAGGTGCTACTGTACTATGGCTATTATACCAGGTGCTACTATACTGTGGATATTATACCAGGTGTTACTGTACTGTGGATATTATACCAGGAGCTACTGTACTGTGGATATTATACCAGGAGCTACTGTACCGTGGATATTATACCAGGAGCTACTGTACTGTGGATATTATACCAGGAGCTACTGTCTTATAAATGTAGAGCAAAATATGAAACAAATATGATGTTCGTCTTGTTTGTCTTAGCAACAGTCACACGGTATCCTTGTCTTGGGCAAGCAGCCCTAAACCCGATGGGGTCATGGAAGGAATAAGATTTTATTAGGTGTAAGGTTGGGTATGTCAAGTTTTTGGATCAGGATGTCTTGACAGGCACGTAAGTTCCCGTCTTCTAATAACATGTTAATTTTCCATTATAATCTACCTTATTCATAATTACTATCACATTTGCTTTGTCTGTTTCGTAAGGTGAAATATAGTATATTTCTTTAATTCATCCTATAACTTCACAACTGTATTGCAGAGGTCTGAGACCTCTGCAACACAACTGTTAAGTTATACCATGAATTAAGGAAAGATCCTAGACTTCACCTTACGAAACAAAGCAAATGTGATAGTAATTATGGACAAGGTAGATTATAATGGAAAATTAACATGTTATTAGAAGACTTGGGTACTTAAGCATCATGATGTCACCATGTTTCGCAACATTCACAAGGTTACACAAACTTTGACTATTCTCAACGTTGCCTGCAAGAAAATGCCTCTACTGTAAGCGACCCAAGTTTATCACATCACTCGTTGCAAAACTGTAATAGTTATGTTGGGTCCTGTTACAAAAAACGCGACTCTAAAAGCTTAGATTATTATTATATCAAAAAGAAGCGCTAAGCCACAAAGACTATACAGCTCTAAAAGCTTAGAGATCTCCAGTGAATACAGAAAGGACTTCCCTTCTAGCATCCAGCCTGTTACTGGGTTTTCGTAACAATTAGTCAGTATCCTTGTCCAATTATCCATTAGAATTCAGTATAATTCAATAGTGCTTCAGGATTACAACTGGTAGGCTACTAACTAGAGAAATTAAAATTTAATAAATTTATTAAGTATCGTCTAGAAGTATATTATCAAAGTAAATTAAATTATTAATAATCAAAATAATAATAATCACTTCTCTCGTATACAATAGTATTGTGCTGAAAGCACATATCACATTTATAATTCTTAAGTGCCGTCTGGTACATTAACATTTAATAAGATATTACAAATATGTACAAGTAAGTTTGTGTGTATGTGTGTAAGTGCTCTAAGTAGTTCGCTAAGTCTCAAGACTCTACTAGACTTAAACAAGTGACTGACAAAGTCCTCAAATAAACTAACTTCTTGACCAACTGGCAATCAGAACAGTCTGCTTGAACAATTAAAAGAATGCTAAGCCCAATAGCAATATAACAAGCAACTGCGACACAGAATCAGGAACAAGGAGATAATATAACGACACTAAGTAGGGACCATCTGCAGATCCTCCACAAAAGTCACAAAACTCCCATACTACTGAAACTAAGTTCAGCATAAGAAAATCCCCGACTGTGATAATACACAGATACCAGTACAAGTTAAGTCAGAAGCTACAGCTCAGGACCTGAGTTGTTTAGAGTGTCTATGCGACACACCACCTCAGTACAACGTCGAAAATCACTAAGTCTATACAATGTTCTGTGAACAGAGTCTCACAGAACTAACAATAATGAGACAAGAGACGGTCTTCCAACAAGGGCCTATAAGGGAGATTTAGGCACTGTCTGGAACACGTCCAACCACCCAGCGAGTCTAGACCAGACTGAATACTTCAGGCGAGGTGAGGACACCCCCCCCTCGATCACGTGATAGCTCCGTGGGTCGCTGCCCAGCAAGAAGCCGGCAGGGAAACAAGCAAAGAGCGATAATTACAGTAGTTAGACAATCAAGACTTGAACTGAGCACATAATACGTTACATCCTACCTAACCAAAGGAAGGTAAGTCAAATAACAATATAAAGCAATACATTTACGATTTAGCTATTATCGCAAATATAAGCAATATAAAATTATATGAAAAGGTAATAATTATATATATACATAATCATTGCAACCCATTCAGGGGTTGCAACAGGTCCCGATAACTGTTTTATATTGCAGATCCACTCATCATTTATTTATTTATTTATTTGAACATGATACAGTGAAGTACAAAGGAATACAGTTATTACAGTGCAACATGCCAAAGCCCCTTGTATGCAGAGCATTATGGGCAGGCTTAAAATTAACTTAGGATTAACTAAGCAATGATATATTCAGTGGTAAAAACATTATTGTAAACAGATAACAATTTAGCACAAATGAGTATTGCAAAGACAGGTCATATGGTCATTTACTGTGTTGCTGAGCATTCAGTAGAATGGAGTATTCTGTTAGGTAATGTAATTAAAAAATAAAGTTTGATTGGGTCACAGGTTAGACATTCATGAGATACAATAATAAGAAACATTTACGAGATGCAATTTATGAAATACAATTATTCAGTATTTATTTAGTTGTGGGTGAGTAAGTGATTTTTGAGAAGAGACTTGAATTTATAAACAGTGTTTCTTTTATATTCACAGGTAATGAATTCCAGATTTTAGGACCTTTTATGTGCATTGAGTTTTTGCATAGCGTGAGATGGACTCGAGGAACATCAAAAAGTGATCTGTGCCTTGTGTTATGGTCATGTGTTCTGTTGAGGTTGGTAAGGAGACGTTTGAGGGGAGGATTTATATCAGAATTAAGTGTTCTATGAATGTAGTAGGTGCAGTAATAAGTATGGATGTTTTGTATGGTGAGTAGGTTTAGAGTTTTGAATATTGGTGGAGTGTGCTGCCTGTAGTGGGAATTTATCATCATTTTGACTGCAGCCTTTTGTTGGGTAATTAATGGTCTGAGATGGTTTATTGTTGTTGAGCCCCATGCACAAATTCCATAGGTGAGATAGGGGTAAATAAGCGAGTGATATAGGGCCATGAGGGCTGACTGTGGAACATAGTACCGTATCTTCGATAGTACGCCTACGGTCTTGGAATTTTTTTTGGAAATTTGTTGTATATGTGTTTGAAATTTGATTATTATCAAGGTGGATTCCTAAGAATTTTCCCTCTGAGTTTTGTGATAGGTTATCCGTTTATCATTATGTTAAGAGGGACGTCTGTAGCTCTGTTACCAAACTGAGTGAAGTAGGTTTTGTCAATGTTTAGAGTAAGTTTGTTAGTACTCATCCAGGTAGATATTTTCTGTAATTCGGCATTTACAGTATTGGCTAGCGTGACTGGGCTCGGGTGAGAGAACACGTATGTAGTGTTATCTGCAAATAGTGTGGGTTTGAGTAGTTGCGATGCATTTGGTAGGTCATTTATGTATATGAGAAAGAGAAGAGGGCCTAGGACACTTCCCTGTGGGACACCAACTGTAATTGGCTGTGCTGAAGAGTTTGCCCCGTATGAACGTATGCCCCATTAACAACACTACGTTTAAAATCCTAATAGTCGACACACTACTGGCGACACCGACTTCGTGAATGGATGTTTTAAATGATTCCTATCCATCACCTTCTCTACCCTTCAATTTCCACTTTCGTTATCAAATAAACATGTATCGTCTTATGCAACTGTGTTGTAATGCTGTACTGATTCAACATTTCCTAACCGATCTCTCTCACTGAATTTGTGGAAATGGCGGTGTGCTTTACATACCTGTGTGGTGAGAAAGTCAAGGTGTAAACCAACAGGTTCTGATGCGGTCACCACGCTGAATCACACACGGAAATAATTCTCAAGTAAACACTAAGATTCACACTTTCTTCTTTCCTATCAAATCAATGTTTAGCCGGTACGAATAACGAAGCTGAACTTATCGGGTGCTCGAGAAGGAAGAACAATAACTAGAGCACACGAATGAGAAGATAGTATAGTATCACGGGTAATGAGTGAGAGAGGAGAGAGGCACTAATACAGTGTACTTGGGTCCACGGCACCAACACCACTGACTTGCTTGGCTGGTAGTGTCCCTCGCACAGGGCAGCACCACCACCCCTCCCACCAACAAACTCCTCCCACTACTACTCGCACTACACACACACACACACACACACACACACACACACACACACACACACACACACACACACACACACACACACACACACACACACACACACACACACACACACACACCAGTCATTGACTCGGGGGGATATTTGTACACTTCACTAACTCTCAACATTCTTAACAAGGTTGTCCCACATTTTAAACTGCAGTTTCAGCATAGTGCTAACACTGTCACTGAAAGAAACAATGCATTAAGGAACAATGAATTTTCACAGCATTACAAGAGGACCGAGCCAGATGGTATTTGTTAAAGAAGCGGAAGGTAAAAGGAGGTAGAAAGGATTGTTCAGGGCCTAACTACCTGTGCATGTGGCAGGTTGGTGCAGTAACTACAACAGAGGAAACACTGTAAAGTGTCAAGTACAATTACTGTATTCACACAAATAGAGCTAAACCCGCGTGGATCATTCATGGCGCATACTAATTTGGTAAAGTAAGTACATTTATTTAGGTATACACAAATACAGTTACATAGAATTATCATACACAGCAGCATATGTGTAGAGAACCTAGGATAACCCAAAAAAGTCAGACTTATTTCCATTGATATGACACTTTGCCTTCACCTTACACTGGCTATATACTGCCAGAAATGTGTTTATATATATATATATATATATATATATATATATATATATATATATATTATATATATATATATTATATATATATAATATAATATATATATATATATATATATATATATATATATATATATATATATATATATATATATTATTTTATTTTTATTATCACACTGGCCCATTCCCACCAAGGCAGGGTGGCCCGAAAAAGAAAAACTTTTCACCATCATTCACTCCATCACTGTCTTGCCAGAAGGGTGCTTTACACTAGTTTTTAAACTGCAACATTAACACCCCTCCTTCAGAGTGCAGGCACTGTACTTCCCATCTCCGGGACTCAAGTCCGGCCTGCCGGTTTCCCTGAACCCCTTCATAAATGTTACTTTGCTCACACTCTAACAGCACGTCAAGTATTAAAAACCATTTGTCTCCATTCACTCCTATCAAACACGCTCACGCATGCCTGCTGGAAGTCCAAGCCCCTCGCACACAAAACCTCCTTTACCCCCTCTCTCCCAACCTTTCCTAGGCCGACCCCTACCCCGCCTTCCTTCCACTACAGACTGATACACTCTTGAAGTCATTCTGTTTCGCTCCATTCTCTCCATGTCCGAACCACCTCAACAACCCTTCCTCACCCCTCTGGAAAACCCAGTTTTGGTAATCCCGCACCTCCTCCATAACTTCCAAACTACGAATTCTCTGCATTATATTCACACCACACATTGCCCTCAGACATGACATCTCCACTGCCTCCAGCCTTCTCCCGCTGCAACTTTTCATCACCCATGCTTCACACCCATAAAGAACGTTGGTAAAATTTATACTCTCATACATTCCCCTCTTTGCCTCCAAGGACAAAGTTCTTTGTCTCCACAGACTCCTAAGTGCACCACTCACTCTTTTCCCCTCATCGATTCTATGATTCACCTCATCTTTCATAGACCCATCCGCTGACACGTCCACTCCCAAATATCTGAATACATTCACCTCCTCCATACTCTCTCCCTCCAATCTGATATTCAATCTTTCATCACCTAATCTTTTTATCCTCATAACCTTACTCTTTCCTGTATTCACCTTTAATTTTCTTCTTTTGCACACCCTACCAAATTCATCCACCAATCTCTGCAACTTCTCTTCAGAATCTCCCAAGAGCACAGTGTCATCAGCAAAGAGCAGCTGTGACAACTCCCACTTTGTGTGTGATTCTTTATCTTTTAACTCCACGCCTCTTGCCAAGACCCTCGCATTTACTTCTCTTACAACCCCATCTATAAATATATTAAACAACCACGGTGACATCACACATCCTTGTCTAAGGCCTACTTTTACAGGGAAAAAAATTCCCTCTTTCCTACATATTCTAACTTGAGCCTCACTATCCTCGTAAAAACTCTTCACTGCTTTCAGTAACCTACCTCCTACACCATACACTTGCAACATCTGCCACATTGCCCCCCTATCCACCCTGTCATACGCCTTTTCCAATCCATAAATGCCACGAAGACCTCTTTATGCCTTATCTAAATACTGTTCACTTATATATTTCACTGTAAACACCTGGTCCACACACCCCCTACCTTTCCTAAAGCCTCCTTGTTCATCTGCTATCCTATTCTCCGTCTTACTCTTAATTCTTTCAATAATAACTCTACCAGGTATATTCATCAGACTTATCCCCCTATAATTTTTGCACTCTCTTTTATCCCCTTTGCCTTTATACAAAGGAACTATGCATGCTCTCTGCCAATCCCTAGGTACCTTACCCTCTTCCATACATTTATTAAATAATTGCACCAACCACTCCAAAACTATATCCCCACCTGCTTTTAACATTTCTATCTTTATCCCATCAATCCCGGCTGCCTTACCTCCTTTCATTTTACCTACTGCCTCACGAACTTCCCCCACACTCACAATGGCTCTTCCTCACTCCCACAAGATGTTATTCCTCCTTGTCCTATACACGAAATCACAGCTTCCCTATCTTCATCAACATTTAACAATTCCTCAAAATATTCCCTCCATCTTCCCAATACCTCTAACTCTCATTATAATAACTCTCCTCTCCTATTTTAACTGACAAATCCATTTGTTCTCTAGGCTTTCTTAACTTGTTAATCTCACTCCAAAACTTTTTCTTATTTTCAACAAAATTTGTTGATAACATCTCACCCACTCTCTCATTTGCTCTCTTTTTACATTGCTTCACCACTCTCTTAACCTCTCTCTTTTTTCTCCATATACTCTTCCTCCTTGCATCACTTCTACTTTGTAAAAACTTCTCATATGCTAACTTTTTCTCCCTTACTACTCTCTTTACATCATCATTCCACCAATCGCTCCTCTTCCCTCCCGCACCCACTTTCCTGTAACCACAAACTTCTGCTGAACACTCTAACACTACATTTTTAAACCTAACCCCATACCTCTTCGACCCCATTGCCTATGCTCTCATTAGCCCATCTATCCTCCAATAGCTGTTTATATCTTACCCTAACTGCCTCCTCTTTTAGTTTATAAACCTTCACCTCTCTCTTCCCTTATACTTCTATTCTCCTTGTATCCCATCTACCTTTTACTCTCAGTGTAGCTACAACTAGAAAGTGATCTGATATATCTGTGGCCCCTCTATAAACATGTACATCCTGAAGTCTACTCAACAGTCTTTTATCTACCATACATAATCCAACAAACTACTGTCATTTCGCCCTACATCATATCTTGTATACTTATTTATCCTCTTTTTCTTAAAATATGTATTACCTATAACTAAACCCCTTTCTATACAAAGTTCAATCAAAGGGCTCCCATTATCATTTACACCTGGCACCCCAAACTTACCTACCACACCCTCTCTAAAAGTTTCTCCTACTTTAGCATTCAGGTCCCCTACCACAATTACTCTCTCACTTGGTTCAAAGGCTCCTATACATTCACTTAACATCTCCCAAATCTCTCTCTCTCCTCTGCATTCCTCTCTTCTCCAGGTGCATACACGCTTATAATGACCCACTTCTCGCATCCAACCTTTACTTTAATCCACATAATTCTTGAATTTACACATTCATATTCTCTTTTCTCCTTCCATAACTGATCATTCAACATTACTGCTACCTCTTCCTTTGCTCTAACTCTCTCAGATACTCCAGATTTAATCCCATTTATTTCCCCCACTGAAACTCCCCTACCCCCTTCAGCTTTGTTTCGCTTAGGGCCAGGACATCCAACTTCTTTTCATTCATAACATCAGCAATCATCTGTTTCTTGTCATCCGCACTACATCCACGCACATTTAAGCATCCCAGTTTTATAAAGTTTTTCTTCTTCTCTTTTTTAGTAAATGTCTACAGGAGAAGGGGTTACTAGCCCATTATATATATATATATATATATATATATATATATATATATATATATATATATATATATATATATATATATATATATATACACACACACACGATGTAGTGGAGGCAGGATCCATACATAGCTTTAAGCAGAGGTATGATAAAGCTCCGGTTCAGGGAGAATGACCTAGTAGCGACCAGTGATGAAGCAGGGCCAGGAGCTAGGACTCGACCCCTGCAACCTTAACTAGGTGAGTACACACACACACACACATGGATCAGAGAATACCTGACAGGGAGGCAACAGCGAGTCATGGTACGGGATGAGGTATCACAGTAGGCACCTGTGACGAGCGGGGTCCCACAGGGGTCGGTCCTAGGACCAGTGCTATTTTTGGTACATGTGAATGACATGATGGAAGGGATAGATTCAGAGGTGTTCCTGTTTGCAGATGATGTGAAGTTAATGAGGAGAATTAAATCAGATGAGGATCAGGCAGGACTTCAAAGAGACCTGGACAGGCTGGACACATGGTCCAGCATTTGGCTTCTTGAATTCAACCCTGCCAAATGCAAAGTCATGAAGATCGGAGAAGGGCAAAGAAGACCGCAGACAGAGTATTGGCTAGGTGGCCAAAGACTGCAAACCTCGCTCAAGGAGAAAGATCTTGAGGTGACCATAGCACCGAGCATGTCTCCGGAGGCACACATCAACCAGATAACTGCTGCAGCATATGGGCGCCTGGCAAACCTGAGAATAGCGTTCCGATACCTTAGTAAGGAATCGTTCAAGACACTGTACACTGTGTACATCAGGCCCATACTGGAGTATGCAGCACCAGTTTGGAACCCCACCTGGTCAAGCACGTCAAGAAATTAGAGAAAGTGCAAAGGTTTGTAACAAGGCTAGTTCTGGAGCTCAGGGGAATGTCCTACGAAGGCTGAGAGAAAT